CTGAGGGAGAAACAAGAAGAAGGTCAAGACACTTATTTCCCAGATACCTTCTCCGCAAAACTGTCTTAACTGCATCCCTCTCTGACTGCCCTCTCCATACAACTTTCCCCAGTTTCTACTTACTTCCTTCCCTGCCATGCTTTCAGTAGAACCAGAGTGTATCATCACATCTGTGGCTTCCAATAACCTACTCCTGTAGTGTACCTAATATTCTACTCTTTGAAAACAGTCTCATGACTAAATTCCCTTCCAATTGCCTAAAAAGAGCACACAGTCTATTTCCTGCCAAGATTGTGACTGAACTCTGGCATTGTAGTTAAATATCCTACCATTAAAAAAAAACAACCTACTTTACCAATTTCCTTGCTAACAATTTACATACAGACTCAATTCTTCTGTTGCAATTAGAACTTTGCATGGGATACAGATATACTAAGATACTCATTTGAGATAAGGAGACAGACAAGTAAACAAACAAAACATTTAGAGGGTCTAACAGAAACACGAAGAACATTTCTTTTTTTTTTAGAGGGATTTTTGCTATAGGGTGCATGCACTTCCAAAAGGAAGAAATGCTAGAGGTTAAGAAAATTTCAGAGTAGTTAATACTTGGCATAAGTCTTTAAAAAGAAGAGCAAGTCCACCAGTCGACAAAGTGTTGGCAAAAATGAGTGATGATGATGATTAAGAACTAACATTTACCAAGCAAAGTAGTATTCAATTTGCTTTGCCTGTATTAACCCATTTATTAAATCCCAACCCAATGAGGTGCTAACAGTATCATCTTCTCCTCCCATCTGTTTCTAAACAAATGACAAAACAAAGGTACACTTTCCTGCTAAGGTCATATAATAAGTGACAGAGCTGAGATTTGAACCCAGTACACTTGTTCTAAGTAACTTCAGTTTTAATCATTGAGTTATATTGATTCTCAAGGATGGCAAGAATATGATATAAACAATTCAACATGGCCCAAACATATGAACAATGATGGGTAGTCAGGAAACAGAAGAGCTAAAAAGAAAGCAAAGAAGGGAACCAGCAGTTAGCATAATGGCTATGTCGCTGGACTCCCACATAGTCGACTGCGGTTCGCATCCCAGGCCTGGTGACTTAAAACTCACGCCGGGCGCATGTGCGTGCGTGCCCAAGATCCTGAGAGGAGAATGGAGGAGAAGGGATTGCGGCGTGACCATCCCCCCTGGGGGGTGATTTCTCACTTTCTGTCTCTATGTCTCTCTCTGTCTGTCTGGCAAGCACACGCGCCCCATAGTGAAAATCTCCCCCCCACCACCCCCCCAAAAAAAAGAGCCCAGTTGGAGGGGGCTCTGGAATAATGAATTTTGTTTTTTAAGATAGTTTTTTTTTTTTTGAGGTTTTTCACTACAGGGTGCATGCTTTCCCCCAGGAGAGAGAGAGACAGAGAGACAGAAAGCAAGAAATCACCCCCCAGAGGGGATGGCCACGCCGCAATCCCTTCTCTTCCATTCTCCTCTCGGGATCTTGGACACGCACGCACACGTGCCCAGCGTGGGTTTTAAGCCACCGGGTCTGGGACGCGAACCGCAGTCGACTACGTGGGAGTCCAGTGACATAGCCATTATGCTAACTGCTGGTTCCCAATAGTTTTTACATTTCAGATTATGGAATCCCTTGAAAATTTTGACACTTTCTTCTCCCAAAAACAAACACACACATAAAAGTCAGCAGTTTATGGAATTCAAAGAACCCTTACCTGGCCAGTGGAAGCCAGGATGAGAAATACTATTACAAGGCCACAGGAAGTCACTGACAGCAGAAGGAAGGAAGGTGCAAGGACAGGGAAAAAAGAGTTCAGAACAGCTCTTCTGAAATATTACTTTGGCAATAGCAGATAGGAGAGATTAGAGAAGGACCAGCAACTAAAATACTGTTGTAATAAATAGTTCAATTGAGAAATAAAGGTTTGAGCTAGGGAAGTGACCGTCATATAGAATAGCACAGATGAGGAATATTGCTATTAGAAATCAATAGTGTCTATGCCCATGTAATGCTAAGGAGTGAAAAGGAATAAAAACCATCTGGTAAGAAAAACTGGTCATTTAACAAGCAATGATCACATAAATGACACATACTAGGAACTTAGCTAAGAGCTATGAAATACAGTGTTAAACAAGACGAAAACCATTCCCACACTTAAGAACTATAGGATAAAGAACAGAGCGTAAATTATAATATATAAATACAATAATAAGATTTCTTTATAATGAAGGAATCTAAGGAGATTTTTTTAAAAGTTGCAAGAGTAATAAATTTCATCCAAAGATACTAAGTCAAGTGAAATGAAAACTTAAAAGAATTCTGCAGACTAAGCAATCAGAAAATGACTAGACCTTAACCAGAAAAATTTCATCTGAGGAATATAGAAGAAGCCTAATGCAGTATGATGAATACCAAGTGCTTAAGGATGGTTAAATTACTGAAAATTAGTAATATGTGAAATGAGAAGCTACTAAATAAAATCTTAAGGGACACTGCTTAACATATCGCCTAGGAGCCTTTCTAAAATAAAAGCAATATTACTCTCCCTTACAGTTACATGGGTGCTTACTATTAAGTTTTTCTAAATTAAACAATGTACTATTTAGGGATACATTTGTGGGCAATTTTTTATATATATATATACATATACATATTACATATATATATATATATATGTATATATATAAAGCAAGGAAGTTAAGTAATACATATAAGAGGAGAATGGTTACTTCTAGGAGGATGTAGTTCAAATATGCATAGGCTCACAAGGGAACTCTACGGTTCTGAAAAACATTCCATTTCTTGACCTAAGTTAATGTTCCATTTCTTGACCTAAGTTAGTGGATAACTGGGTATTTGTCTTATCACTATTTTTTTAAAAGAATTATTTTCATTATTATTATTTTTAAATTTGACTAGCGAGAGAGAGAAAGGGGAAGTGAGAAAACAAGCTGCCAGGTCCAGGACTCAAGCCATGGTCCACCATGTTACAGTCTACCATCTTAACCACCAAGCCACCTGCTGGTCCCTGTCGTAACACTATTTTTTAAACTGCAGATGTGCATTTTGGCTATTTTTCTGGGTAAAATATTGGTCATAAAAATGTTTAACACGCATAAATCTGAGATAATAAGGAACAAATCGAGCCAAAACCTAATTACTTCCAAAAAAAAATAAGAATTAAATAGAACCAAGAGTTCAATTAAACCAAAACTCACTTTTACATGACATTTTGTTAATGGCATAAAAATTTCAAGTAATCCTAAGTCTATTCTTTAGACAGCAAAGAGAAAAAAAGATTCTATTTTGCAAATACATTATTGAAAGAAATTTTCTCTGATTTTCAATCATTACAGTCACAAAATCAGCAAAAAGAGCCTCCCAGTCTTTTACTCGGAGAAATATGAATTCTTAGAATGAATTTAAATAACATAACGTTAACTGTATCATAAAATTGATATATTCCAGATGCAATCTTACGTATACTAAACAAATTTTGAAGGCAAATGCTATAGTTTTAATACTTGGCAATTTACTTTAAACATATATACACCCTAAAAAACACCTTATCATACAGTTTTCAAAACAATTTCCATTCCAATTATAAAAGTTATATTTTTAGGAATAAATACTACTTACCTGTTCCCTACTGAATCTTGAGAGATTTGAAAGTTTGGAATGATAGAAGAAACACCATATTCATCCTGATACTTCTTACACGATTTGTAATGATGTCTCATGCGGTAGAATTTTATCTGTAAATTATTGATTACAATGTGATTTTTAATTTAAAGTAACACACAAGATTTGACATTCTGTCAACAAGAAAAAAGATTTTTAAAAAAACCTAAATATTCCATTAAGCTAGAGTTTAGTTTTTTCTTTCTTTTTTTTTTGAGAGATTTTCGCTATAGGGCGCGTGCGCTCGCCAGACAGACAGAGAGAGACAGAGAGACAGAAAGCGCGAAATCATCCCCCAGGGGGGATGGTCATGCCGCAATCCCTTCTCCTCCATTCTCCTCTCGGGATCTTGGGCACACATGCACATGCACCCAGCGTGAGTTTTAAGCCACCGGGTCCAGGACATGAACCGCGGTCGACTACATGGGAGTCCAGTGACATAGCCATTATGCTAACTGCTGGTTCCCTAAGCTAGAGTTTATTTTTAAGAAAGCAAACTAGTTCATTCTTAAAAAAAAAAAAAAAAAAAACTTAAAATAGATATTTCTGTCCACTAAGTGCAGAGATTGTGGAAAAGAGTCTGTCTACAAACTCACTGAAGAAATAGTTATAATTTTATTCTGGAAAAGATAATGCTAATAGACAAAAATAAAAGTACTAAGAGGTAGTCTCATGCCATTGGTATTTCTTTACTATTTAACAATTGTACACCATCAGAATTAGAAGTACTTTAAAAAATTAAGTTCCTGGGAACCAGCAGTTAGTGTAATGGCTATGTCACTGGACTCCCACATAGTCGACCGTGGTTCGCGTCCCAGACCCGGTGGCTTAAAACTCACGCCGGGCGCGTGTGCGTGCGTGCCCAAGATCCCGAGAGGAGAATGGAGGAGAAGGGATTGCAGTGTGACCATCCCCCCTGGGGGGTGATTTCTCACTTTCTGTCTCTATGTCTCTCTTTGTCTGTCTGGTGAGTGCACACGCCCTATAGCGAAAACCTCTCCACCAAAAAAAAAAAATTAAAAATTAAAAAAATAACAAAAAATTAAGTTCCCAGGTTAATACTTGAAACATTTTTCAGTTTCTCACTGAGGAGTAAAGCCAGAATCTCTCAACTGTGTTTTCAAACTTCACGTTATTGCCACGTCAGTTAAACGCTTCCCTCAAAAAAGATGGAAAAACAGATCTGACATGCATGAATGCATGAAATAGCAACTGGTTTTGCTCACTGACTTTTATCACTTGCTGGGAAAAAAATCTGCAATAAATTCATAGAGACACGGTTATACTTAAAGCCTAACCACTTCTCCCCATTTCATTTGTTCCCCAAATAACAGAACAAATAGATAAGAGAATCAGTGCTAGTTAATTAGTGCATGCAAACACATTTGATTTTGTTAACTTTTCCTTAAAAATAACCAGTCTTCTGCTAAATATTTTTATAATTTCTTAAATACACAGGTGAGCGGCTAAAGAATGGCTTGACTATAGAGATCCATTTAGACAAACTATTAACGTTTCTATGTGCAAAGTTGCAATGATACTAACATTAGAAAAACTACTGGGGCCAGTTTGCATGGTGGTTGAGGTACCGGACTCTCACATGGCCAACAGCAGTTCAAGTCTGGCTCCTGATGGCTTGGTTTCTCATTTTCCCTTTCACTCTCTGTCTCTCTCTGGTCAAAGTAAAAAATAGTAATTTTTAAAAATTAAATAATTCTTTAAAAAAAAAAGTGGGAAAAAAAAAAGAAACTACTACTTAAGGGTAGAATTTGTATTGGAATGAGTTTTAAATTAAATGTCAGTTTGGTCATTTAGTCAATTTAGTAAGTAATCAAAGAGCAGCTGAGGCCAGCAGGTGATGTGGTGGCTAAGGCACTGGACTCCCACATGGCCAGCCACAGTTCAAGTCCTGGACCTGGTGGCTTGCTATCTTATTTTCTCTCTCTGTCTCGCACATGTGTCCTATAGTAAAAATGTAAAAGGTAATAGAAGTAAATAATTCCTTAAAAAAAAAAAAAAGGATCAACTCCTTTGAGATTCATACCATGCTAAAAATTGAGAGATTTAGCTTTTCTTTAGTTCTCAATAAGTTTATAATATAGTAATACATATAGCTATAGCTTTTTAGGCCTTTCCTACTCAACTGTCAATCTAAATTTCTTTCTCTTCAAAATAGCACCTACCAAGAACATTTAAATAGGAATTTCAGTTTTCTCTGATTTTCAAAGGCTATGTTGCATTTACTCTACCTGTTTTGCACAGCATCTGCAGCTACCAGAAAACTTCCTCATGAGATTTTCAAGGTCTAAGGCCCGTTCAGGACATGCTCTCTCTCTTCTAGTCACATTTCCACGACACAGGGGACAATGTATTCCGCTTTCTCTCATTGCAGTCAGGAAACATTTTCTACAGAAACTAAATCAAATATTTGTGACACATTAATGACAGAAAAAATTTCTCTTTCATTTCTATGATTAAACACAAGTGATTATGGGTATGGATTTGTGCTAAGCTAGGCAATTCCTAAATACATAAATCTCAAAATTTTAAGAACTAAGTATGTATGTATGTCTCAAGAATAAAACTGTCAACTGGATAGGAATATAAAAGAAATTACAATGAGGTCTTACTTTTTAGCAGAGCATATGAAAAATAAGCATTACCAGAGGAAGGATAATACAGTGAATCTCCATTTCCTGCCCTTATGAAAAAAGGGAATGAACCACATCAGCTTTTGTCTGAAACTGACATATTTCAAGATACTGTTCCGAAAGATATAAATGGGTCTACTACAAAAGAATGTACAAACTGATTTACTACAAAAGAATGTACAAACTGATTTAGGATGTTCTAAGATATAGTAAATGGGTTTTTTTCAAGCTAAGGAAAATCTAAGTGTTGCCCACATCTATTTGGTTGAAAAGTATAAACATTTCCTACAATGTTTTGTAGTGAAGTACAATTTGAGAAATACTTAAGAACATTTCCAGCTTTAAACATCAACAAACATCTACCTGGAGTAGAACTAACTAAAACCTTTATTTCTGCTCTGCTAAACCCACCAAATACCATATTTAATCATGTTGCTTTTAAGAGAACTAGATAAATTATAGACATCTATATCTGGGATCCACAATAAGTGAACATTTAATCCAATCCCCTATAAATACAAATATACCAATATTCCTCATCTATCCTAAAATATGAGACATAATAATAACAGATCAGAATCTGAGTTTTCTAACTATATAGCATTGAAAAGCCCATTTTCTCCTCTAAAATCACTTTTCTTACCCATAAAATAAATAAAAGTATATATAATTAATTGGGTTGTCCAGATGACTGAAATAGGTAATACACGTAAAAAGCATATAACAGCATTCTTAACAGTCGGGAAAACACTCGATTAATACTGGCCAGTAAGATTAAAGTAGCATTAGAATTTATTACAAATTAAGATGATAAATTAAAACATTAAAAATATTCACCAGAACCAAAATTAATGCAAAATAAACAAGACCAAGATACCACTTTTCATTTGTCAAACTGAAAACTAGGTTTTTTATGTTTTTTTTTTTTTGGGGGGGGGGGGGTTTTTGGGAGAGGTTTCTGCTATAGGGCGCGTGCGCTCGCCAGACAGACAGAGAGAGACAGAGAGACAGAAAGCGAGAACTCACCCTCCAGGGGGGATGGTCACGCCGCAATCCCTTCTCCTCCATTCTCCTCCCAGGATCTTGGGCACGCACACACACGCACCCGGCGTGAGTTTTAAGCCACCGGGTCCAGGACGTGAACCGCGGTCAACTACGTGGGAGTCCAGCGACATAGCCATTACGCTAACTGCTGGTTCCCTGAAAACTAGTTTTAAAAGCAGTTAGTGTGGAGTAGCCAGCAGGTGCTGTAGTGGTTAGGGCACTGGACTCCCTCCCACATGGTCGACCATGGTTCAAGTCTTGTACCTGGTGGCTTGATTTTTCATTTGTCCTTTCTCTCTCTCTCTAGTGAAATTAAATAATAATAAAAAATAAAATTGAATAATTCTTTAAAAAAAAAGCTAGTAGAAATATATGAAAATGAGTGTATTACATTTCCAGATGGTGAGGCAGGAAGAAAGCTAGAAAATGAAAGTGGGAATACTAATAAATTAAATAAACAATTAATTAAAAGGTGGGGGGGCAGCAGGTGGTGTGGTGGTTAAAGGCATGGATTCCCACATGGTTGAATGTGGTTTGAGTCCCAGACCTGGCAGCTTGCTTCCACACTACCCCCTGCACTGCTCACTCTCTGGTGAGCATGTGTCCTGTAATGAAACTGAAAAATAATACTAATAAATAAAATTAAATATATAATTCTTTAAAAAAAGAAAATGGAAGTGAGAATGTGGATTGGCTCATATGTTCTGTGGCTAAATAGAAATACCAGTAAGGCTGGGTCTGGGAGGTGGCATGGTGGTTAAGGACGCTGGATTCCCACATGGCCAGTCACAGCTTGCATCCCGAACCTGGAGGCTTGCTTTCTCCCTTTTCCTTTCTCTCTCCCCCCTTTTCATCCCTTTCTCTCTCTCTCTCTCTCTCTCTGGTGAGCCCATGAAATCTGTAGCAAAAATGAAAAATAATACTAATAAATAAAATTAAATAAATAATTATTTTTTTAAAAAAAGATAAAAAAGAAATGAAAGTGGAGAAGGGGACTGGATCATATGCCTCCATGGCTAGATAGAAAAAACAATCAGGCTGGGGCCAGCAAGTGCCATGGTTGTTAAGGGTGCTGGATTCCCACATTGGAGATTGAAGTTCGTACCCCAGACCTGGCGGCTTGCTTTCTCCCTTTACCTTTCTCTCTCTTTTGTCTCTCTCTGGTCAAATTAAAAAATAATAATAAATGGAATTAAATAAACAATTATTTTTAAAAAAGAAAAACCCATCAGGACAGAAAATTTCCCACCTAAGGTAATGTAGGCAGAAGATTTCCAGCGGGGGATGTCTAGCTGATTAAGCCATATTCGATATAGCCAATGAGATGAGAACAATCAGTGGGCCCAGCCCATAATCAAGTGATATGACTTACATTTAAACATTATAAACCTCACAGAATGTAATTGCCATGGCCCTTGAGCTATTTTTCCTCTCTCACACTTGGGATACTTCTACCTCTTGGGAGTGTACTTTCGTTTTTATTTAATAAACTGTCCTTTGCTTTCATTATTGGCATGTTTCATTCAATTCTTTGTCCTAAACACCAAAGGCCTGGACATCACCAATGTCATTCCACAACAATAGCAGTATGCCAATATAAGACGCTAAAATGTTTTTAGAAAATGGAATTAAAAGTACATATTTATTGGGAACCAGCAGTTAGCATAATGGCTATGTCGCTGGACTCCCACGTAGTTGACCGCGGTTCGCGTCCCGGACCCACTGGTTTAAAACTCACGCATGTGCATGCTGCATGCGTGCCCAAGATCCCAAGAGGAGAATGGAGGAGAAGGGATTGCGGCGTGACCATCCCCCCTGGGGGGTGATTTCTCGCTTTCTGTCTCTATGTCTCTCTCTGTCTGTCTGGCGA